TACTCGATCGTACCTGCTGGTTAGTGGACACAACGACACACAACAGAACTTACGTTTTATACCTCACAGATGCTTTAAGTTTTGTGACTTTTTCACAGACTAGTTCTAGGAGCTAACACTAAAAACAAAGGCAGTAAGCAGGGAGTGGAAGGGAGGAGCATGGCAAGAATTTTACCAGAAATACYTCATTAATGACCGTGGCATWTAGGCTATTGCTCCGGGGGCTCAGTTACTGCAGGCCAACAGCTGAGGGGCCAAATATCCAGTAATAAAAGTCATTCTGTAAATAAACCAAGTATTATAAAGATCCGTTACCTTTGAAATAGTTTATTTTGCTGCATTTAATAATGATCAAAAGATGCAGAACACTATAACACATTCTGCCTCCTGTTTAACTCAGATATTATTTTGACATCTCTGACTTGACAATTTTTTGAAGAAATTTTATTTTCACTTTCATAGTTTTATCTTCAACTGCTTGTAATTTTAACTGTCCTGCGTGTGCATAGAAGTYGTTTTTACCAGCTTCTAGCCAATATRRGGATGTTTCTGTAGATACCAAACATGTCTATGTTTAACTAAAAGAACTTACAGTAGAAAACCTGGGGTTTGAGCTTAAGAGATGAACGAACCAATTGACGGGCCGAACTTTGGTCATTTGTGGGCCGGACGTGGCCTGCGGGCCTCCAGTTGAATAGCGCTGTTCTAGATTGTAGCAGCCTTGTTGTTGGTGCAGAGCATGGTTGCTTCTTGTGATGCTCTGAATAAACCCAGCAACAGCTGCTTCAAATTAAACACAGCAGATTAACAGTAAGGTCACAGATAAAAGCAAAATGCCACAACAACACAGCACTGCTCAGGCTGCGTAACAAGTAACAACATCTTGGCAAGTGCAGAAGTGTTGGCAGCCAGTGCCGTTTCCTAGTCCTTTTATTTATTTAAATGCCTTCTTTTTGCCAAGACATGTCTTGTTTAAGTCTATTAAAACACAACAAGCCACGAATAAAACATACAAACAGACTGACTTTATTACTTAAGATCCCTTAAAATGTCAGGCTCTTGCCATATGAAAGTTTTTTTGTAACACTGCCACGGGGAAACAAGCAAACAGCCAAACATTTGAAGGTTAGTTTCATAACGCTGACACAAAAAGGAGGGTTTGATTCTGTGGGGGAGGGGGCAGAGTTTGTACTAAATAGCTGATAAATTGTTCATCCTTGGATTTGTGACTTTTAAAGTCACGTGCAGTGTGTTCAGTCCAGAAATGTGGCTCAGATTGTGCAGAAGTGAGCAGCCAGTCCTGTACGTCCTGCCTTTATAACTCATTTTCTGTCCATGCTGTAAGAACCAAAAGCGATTTTATGCCCTAATAGAGCGATGAAATTTGTCCTGGTTGTGTCTATTTTTGAAGACTCTTCCCCTCTTAATTCGCTTTTTCTTCATCAGAGGATGAAAGGATGTCGTAAACCAGGCAAATGATGATGTTCTGTTCTGCTGAACACAAAGGTTTTCAGTCCTGTACCATATCAGGTGTAAATGTGTTTTAAAGGGATCCCCGATTAGTTGTAACATTAGACTTTATTTGATAAACATATATTTTAACTGTAAAATAAAGACTGTAAAAATTCTGTAGGATGTTTGGTTTTTATAATTTTTAAACTAAAAGTTTATAAATATATTACATTGACGGAGCCATTTTATTTCCACACAAAGCATTCTGGGTAAATGATGACGTGGATAGGTCCTCGGTGCGAGGCTGCTAGCGAGCTATATCCACCCTGAAGGTTAATCTTGGACAATATCTGATGATCGACTCTTTTAAATGAAACCAGAGAGCGTTGASAGAGAGGAGAAGGTAGAAATGACTCAGCCTGGAACTGAAAATATGGATGGAGGACAACAGAGCTGCTTCATGGAAGAAGAACCCCAGTTTAGCCTGTTAGCTTTAGCCTTTGCCCCGACGCCATCACAATATATGTATTAGCTCAGCGCTACACATTCTCCTCTCGTCACTGAGGTCCTCCATCCACATGACAGAGAGGGGAACACAGAAATGACTCAGTCTGTAACTGAAAATATGGATGGAGGACCTCAGTTTAGCTTGTTTGTTGCGCTAGCACCGAACTAATACATAAAAGGCAATATAGCGTCGCTCTAGTGCGAAGGCTAACAGGCTAAGCTGAGGTTGTTCTTCCATGAAGCAGCTCTGTTGTCCTCCATCCATATTTTCAGTTCCAGGCTGAGTCATTTCTACCTTCTCCTCTCTGTCAACGCTCTCTGGTTTCATTTAAAAGAGTCGATCATCAGATATTGTCCAAGATTAACCTTCAGGGTGGATATAGCTCGCTAGCAGCCTCGCACCGAGGACCTATCCACGTCATCATTTACCCAGAATGCTTTGTGTGTAAATAAATAAATGAAATAATAAATAAAATAAATGGCTCTGTCCGTGTTAAAATATATTTTTAAAAATTATAAAAACTAAACATCCTACAGTATTTTTACAGTCTTTATTTTACAGTTAAAATAAATGTTTATCAAATAAAGTCTAATGTTGCAACTAATCAGGGATCCTTTTAAGAGTTTTATCATTGCACATTTATACGTAGCTCTCCTGCAAATCTAAAGAACAAAGATGACTGTTCAAACTGGCGTTGTCAGGTGTAAGCTTTTAAAACCRCTGGGAAGAAATCTTCARAATGRATCTGTTTATAAAAGACATAGTTGAAGATCTGAATAAAATCCTGCCCACCCAGCGGACGAGCCGTCTCTGTTGCTGACCTCAGCCTGCAGAGCTGTAATGATTTTACACCTGATTTACAGCAGGACCAGTTTTTTTTTCTTCTTCTCTTTTTAAAGACTGCAAGGCCTCATGAGAAGAGCCAGAGCCCATAACTCTTCTACCGCTGCACTTTGTTCCAGGGTGTATTTAGGCACGACGCCACGACAGATTGTTAAATAATGAACTGTAAGTGAGGCATGCCGTGCACTTCTGTGGGGCCTTTTCTGGCCCCGGGATCCTCCACCCGCTTCAAGAATCGCTTGTTTGTTCGAGTCCCGCCCTTGGAAACAAATCACAGCTGCCTGATAAAATAAATGTTAATATTTCAGCATTGTTGGCAGGTCACGGCTGCAACAACTGTGTTTCACTACAAAGGCTTGGGAAAACATTATTTCAGGTTTGTCCTTTTTGGCCATATATATCTTCATTTGATCAGTCCTTTTTTTATTAGTACTTATGAAATGTGCGTGCAAAAGCAGTCACAAGATTGCATTGCTGTTCATTCTGATTAAAAGCTGCTTCAGTGTACACAGAGTATGCAGAGGTGTGGAGCTGTTACATCACAGACGTGTAAATGCGCTGCAGGCCAGACGACACAGGAAGTGACACGCTTGGTAACACGCAACAAAAAATACATCAGCAAGCATAAAGAAACGAGTCATAAACTGCTGCAGAAAAGCTTGTGATGCATTTATTCTTTTTTTGTTGTAAACTTTATTCATTTCATAAAACAAAATTCTATGTACAATAAAAAAGGAAATACAAATAAAATGAAATGAAAGGTGGCAGAGAGAAGAAAAAATCTGATAATTTCTGCCAGTTTTTTCTCAAATAAAGATTCAAACTATAAGGATCATCAGTTAACAAAACAAAACACAAAAAAACATTGAAACTTTAGTGAATGTATTCATACTAAACAATTTCGTATTTTTTAACAGTCCAGTCTTTATCATTCTCTTAAATATGCATATTGATGTGGCACTTTTAACACTGTCTTCTAAATTATTCCACAGTCTCATTCCTTGAAGTGAGGTGCATCGTTCTTTCAGACATGTTGTAAATTTAGGTTTCATGAACATCTCTGTTCCCTTAAGATTATAACAGTTTTCTCTCTTTGTAAAATGTATCTGAACATTTAAAGGTAATGCATTTCGGTGTGCTTTATACATAACTAACAAAATATTAAAATCAATCAAATCGTAGAATTTCATTAATTTCAGTTTACTAATGTTTTCGAGTGATAACTCTTATAGCCCTTTTTTGCAAAAACAAAAACAGGATGTGTAATAGTCTTACATGCTTTTCCCCATACCTCAACACAATAGACCAGGTGTGGAACAATTAATGTGTTATATAACATACACAGAGCTTTATCATTAAACAAGTCCCTTACTTTGTAAAGCAATGCAATAGATTAGCTAGTTTTATTCTTAAATAATTTATATGAGGTTTCCATGTCAGTTTCTCATTAATAATAACATCCAAAAACCTCACCTCACTGACTCTACTAATCTCTATACCACCAACTCTGAATGAAATGTCAACAGTTCTTTGTCTCTTTGTAAATATCATATAATTAGTTTTGTCCAAATTTAATGATAATTTATTGAGTTTAAACCAGTTTTGTATTTTCACAAATTCTGCTTGCATTTTCTCTGACATTCGTTCTAGATTTTTCCCTGAACAAAAAAAGTTGTATCATCAGAGAACAAAATGCATTTAAATAATCCTGACACTTTGACCAAGTCATTTACATATAGGATAAACAATTTTGGTCCAAATACAGAACCGTGAGGAACTCCACATGTGATTTCATAGAGTTCAGATCTTACATCATGTACTTGTACAAACTGTTTCCTGTTTTTCAAATAACTAGATATCCACTGTAATGCTGGTCCTCTAATCCCATATTTATATTCTAGTTAGCACCTGTCTCTTTAAGGTCTCTTTCCAGTCCAGCTTTTTTTTCTGATTGGTTAACTGATTGGAACAAAATGGTAGAAATTTTTTCTCTTTGTCATTACTATGTATTGTGTGTATAATTGTAAGTGAGAAAGAACACAATGATTTTTATCTTGTTCTGAATAAGTGTGTCACATAAAAGAACTGGAAAAAGTGAAGCATTGTAAATACTCTCCAGATACTCTGTGAATATTACAACCATGTGCCATGCAAGCAGCAGAAGAACCCACAGCTCTGCTGTTTTTGTTTCCCACAGAACCTGGTCAGCAGAAGACTTTTAAGAGAAAGAGGTCACTGATCAACTGGCCCTTCTGGAAAGGGTCCAACCCACAGCTGGACGGCCTGCCTCTGTCCCCATCCCTGCTTTCCCCCACTCAGGGACAGCTCTTCGGACGACCCCTGAGCTCCGTGTGCTCCTCAGATCACGGCTTGCCGAAGCCCATCATGGTGAGCGAAGGGAGGCGTCAACACTTTGAAGCTTTGAGATACAGCGGGTAAAATAAGTATTGAACACGTCACCATTTTTCTCAGTAAATATATTACTAGAGGTGCTAATGACATGAAATTTTCACRAGATGTTGGTAACAACCCAAGTGATCCATACATACAAAGAAATCAAACCATAAATGTCCAGAAATGAAGTTATTTGTAATAATG